AAATTTTTTTTACGGTCACAAAACATCAAATTAATTGATCACAATTTATCAAATTATTGGTCACAAATTAATAAATTTTTAGGTCACATAGTATGTATTGATCACAATTTATCTGTTTCATCGGTCACATATTTTTTATTGGTCACACACCAACCAATTTATTGGTTACAATCAACCAAAACATTTGTCACCACCACCAACGCTTGTGACCACCACCACACCGTTGCAACAACCCAAACCACCGTCGTCAGAACCACCAAAACCACCTCCCAGCAACAAAACCATCGTCTCGAATTTGATAAGTTGTGACCGTCACAATTGCCGCCGCCACCTCCACTGCAGCCACCAACAACAAATTAGATACGAAACCGACAACACTCCACAACCACCATCACCTTGCAAACCATCATCTAAAATACCATCACCACCACGACCACCACTACCCACCCATAACCACTATTTCACTACCACCACCACTAAAACCACAAGATCTCCACCTCCACCACCCCCATCCTACAACCCAAAAAAATTCTCAGCCCTACGATCGTCGCCGCCACCTTCACCGACCACCACACCACCACCATTAAAACCACATATCCACCACCATACCACCACACCAACCATCGTACCCAACCCCAACCACCATACACCTCATCAAATAAAAAAAAAAAAAGACAGATCGCTTTGGAATGAGGTGTCTTCTTCTCCTTAGTGGTTTTGCTAGCGACGGCCTTGGGCTTGGCAACATGAGTGGGCTTCTTCTTAGCAGCAGCAGCAGATTTGGAAATAGACGAACGAGTCAGGTTTCTAGAAGCCACAAGCGAGGAGGAGAAAGAGAGGAGGGAAAGGAGACGGGGATGAGGAGGGAGAGACGAGGGGATAGAGAGAGAAGATGTAGTAAATGATTTGATATTTTTAGGGTTTGAGTAATTATAATTTAAATAGAGATGAATTAATATCTGATTTTTGTATAAATAAAGTTTTTATCTGAAATTTGAAATTGAATCTTTAAAGTTCTAGTCTTGTGTAATTTCAACTTTATATTACCTCTTGGATGGCTTTGAATTTGGCCGATTTAATCCCTTTTATTGGTCTAACTAAAGCCTAACTTAGCCATCGGCAGCCCCTTAGAAGAGAGAAAAACGTGTCTTCCTTAGTATTTTGGTCCCGTTGCTTGCCTTCTTTCATTGTTTTTCTTCTTGCCTTTGTAGATCCAAATCATCATCATTATCTTATCCTTAGTGGGTGAGATTGAGGAGCAACCGATGTGAATATATTGGTTGTGGGTTAGAGCCATTTGAATTGATTATTTGGTAAAGAAATGTAACGTGAAATTGAGTCCGAAAAACACCGTTTTAACGACTCTTGGAGCAAGGTTCTACAACACTTATTGTTAAACTAAGAAGAGATAACTAATTTTGATCTTCTTGGATGATGATCAGAAAATGAAAAATAACATCTGATTTTATTTTTGATGACGTGATCTATTAATACTTTTGGTGTCCATTGTAGCATTAGACGACGCATTTTGTGCAGGTTGTAGGGACGAAAAAATTAGGTTGAAAGAAAACGTATAGGAGGCTCCAATGTGCTTGAATAACTAAAAAGATGCGAACCACATGATACACGACAAGATGACTATTAAAATTGCTAAAGGTTTTTTGTAATTATAATTTTTATGGATTTTAAACAATAGTTTAGATTTATTATTGTACATTGTCATTTCATTTCATGTCGATGTATCCAACCCAACCATCGTACACATCCCTAATAACAAGAACAAATTAAACATTATTTCCGTTAAATTTAGAATCAAATGCGTGAATTCCACTATGTTATGTTGTGTTCGTTGGGATTTTAATCAATTCAATCCATAGCCAAAAAGCCTTAATATCATAAAAGATGAAGGAAAAATGAGAGCTTGTCCTCAAATCTGTTTTCACCAAATGTATCTTGATATGTGACTTCTTATTTGAACTTGTTTCTTCTCGAAGCTTGAGATTCTTCCATTCATAACCTTTCCATTGCAATGTATCCTATATGTAGTTAAATGAACTGTTCAATCAATGAAATTGAAGGACATGAGGAACACCCCACCCACCAACCATTTCTTTCACTTGTACATAGAAGCACGTGTAAACGATTTGCAACTCAAACAAGGACCAGTTGAAACCCGACAATTGGAAAAGAATGTGTAGAAGAAATGCAAGCGCCAGGAGCTTTGAAGAGTATTGAAGAACTGTAGATGGCATTGTATCCTCTAAAAAGACAATGCCACCTCAAGTCATCAATCGCCACACATGCTACCAGAAACGGTTTCAAAGCCTTCACCGCCCTACCTCTCAAGGAAATCCTTCAAAGAGAATAGTTGATTTCCATCCTACAATATGACAATACGGTAAAAACTAAATTAGCAACATGTTAAAAAATAACAGCTAGAGGAATATAACTTCACTTTTCTCTTGTTAAATCCTTCATGAAATATAACAGCCATAAGAAATCATTTCAAAGTACATCAATTATGTGATGACACTTAATCAAATTAATGAACAACCTATATATGTGATTTTCACTCTGTAGCAAGTATAGAAAGAAGAAACAATAAAAAGCAGCACATAGAATATAATGATGACAGAGATCTCAAGCAAGAATAGAAGAATTTCTATTTTCTTTGTACTTTTTGTGGTAGAATGCAGTAGTATACCCTTGTGTTTTGTTGCAAAATGAATTTAATTCTATCCCCCGACCCCACCCCCCTCTTTTTCTGGTCTTAGACTAGGCTACTAAACCTTAAATAGTATTAAAACCAAAAGAATTCTCTCTCAATGACGACCTAGGAGTATGTATGGCACGTGTAATAGACACGACTAAACAATACAATGAATAAGATTTTAACATTTTCCTTCATATTGTCCAGTTTTATTAAATCCACTTCACCAAACATGTCATATGGGAACGGCAGCTAAAATGCAACTTGTACGAACACAGCTTAAAGTGCATTTTACCCGTACTTCTAGCATTCATTACAAAATCAAAACTCAGGAGTCCAGGAAACAATTATTCCACAGCAGATTAATAGCCATTGTCAAA